CTTTTTTTTTTTTTTAAATCCTCACCCGAGGATAGGTTTCCATTGGTTTCAGAGAGGGAGAGACAGAGAGAGAGGAAGAGGGAGAAAGAGAGACAAAGACAGAGAAACATTGATCAGTTGCCTCCTGTGGGGCAGGGATTGAACCTGCAACTTAGATATGTGCCCAGACTGGGAATCAAACCCACAACCTTTTGGTGTATGGGACAATGCTCCAACCAACTGAGCCACCCTGCCAGGGCAGGATACAGTGCTATTTTAGAGTAGTTAGAGGAGACCAGTCTGAGTATGTGGTATCTGGTCTGAGAACTCAATGTTAAGAAGCTAAGAAATCTTGGGGAAGACCATACCAAGCAGAAAACAAAGAGCAATACAATAGGCCCTGAGGCAGCAATAGGTTTGGAGTGTTTGAGGGACAGAAGAACACCAGTGCAGTGAAGGCAAGAGTGATGGGAAATGAGGTTGGAGAGGTGGGCGAGGGCCAGATCAGTGGAGTTTAATTGTATTCCAAGTGCAATGGGAAGCCAGTTAAGGGTTTTAAACAGAGGAGTGATGTGATTCCATTTACATTTTAGCAAGAACACTCTGGCGCTGCTTGGAAAATGGATGGGGGTAGCTGGAGAGTGGAAAGTAGATCAGGCTATTGCGAGATTATGGTGGCTTGAAAGGCCAAGATAGATGCAGCAGAGATGGAAAGAAATGGGCTGATGCCGGATTTATTTTGTAGATAGTACTGACAGGATTGCTGATGGATAGGTTGTGAAGCTGAGAAAAAGGGAAGAATCAAAGATGACTGACTTCCCAAGTGGTGGTAGCTTAGACTCCAATTAGAGTAGTGGGGATGGTAAGAAGTGGTTGGATCCTGGGAGAGATGGTAGGATGAGACTGTTAAGTAAGGTGGAACTTTGAAGGAGACCTTTGTTCTCAAGTCCTGAAAATCTATCACCAAGGCTCTACTGGATTCTGGACTCGCTAGCTCACCTTATGAAAGGGCCACATATACATGGGCCACTCACAGGAGTACACAATGCTTCTGCCGGTATTGTTCAGGGCCAAGGACATATTCTTATAACCTGTATGAGAAAACAATGGGTAAAATAAGGGGAAGAAGGGAATTTCCAATGGGGGCTGTACAGTTTAAAAAGAGGTTGCCTGAAAGGGCCATGCTTTTATTTTAAACCAGCAGCAGAGACAGGTAGCTAGCTGCTCTGCGCTGAAATTGTGTCTAGTAATTCCCAGACTGCTGGCATTGTTCTGAAGATGTAGTGCGGGATGGTGCATATATTGGGGAAAGGCAGGCAGAAGATGCCCCTTTATGACTGGCTGACATTCTAGATGCTTTCCCAAATGATGTTATGCAGAGTTAGAATTTCTATTTGTAATTAACTCCAGAGCCTTCTTGAATTAAAAGTGCACAGTATTAGCCGTGGTTAGGCAGGCATAGATTTTACATTGCATGAATGAATGAGTGCATGGTCAAACTGAAAGTGAAGAGGTAGGCGCTCTGGCATATTGAGAATAATTATTTCCAGTATTGTGACTGGGTACTTAAAATGGGAAGATTAGTTCTGTGGATGATCAGTTACCTTGGCCTCAAAGTTCTTCTCTTTGCTCATGGCTAAATCTCTTGAATGAAACATACCATTTGCCAACTGTTCCACACTGTCACAGTAACAACCATCAAATTTTAGCAGGTCTACTCCCCAGGCAGCAAAGGTCTTGGCATCAATGTCATAGTATCCCAAACTCCCAGGGTAGCCTGCACAGGTTTTTTTCCCAACATCTGCATAAATCCCTAGCTTCAGTCCTTTGCTATGGACCTGAAATGAGAGGAAAGAGTCACCACAATAGAAGCGTAATTATGAAGCAAAAAAAGAACCACTCCAGGCTGTGGGAAGAGAGATGCATACTTCACCAGGTATTGGGAGCATTTTTTTCATAAGTCCCCAAAACTATCCAGATGAATTTCTTGGGAGACAAACAGCAAATTCTCCAGTTCTGCTGAGTTCAAACTCCACATGTAAGCTATAGCACAGAACTGAAGAGAAAGCTATCAGCCACTCTAATCTTTTATGATGGGAACCTAAAAGTTACCTTTCCAGGGCAATGATAAATTTATCTGGATAGACTCCTTGACCAAACCTTGGTTGGGCTCCTCTGAGCCCTCAAGTAGGCCTCAACCTTGGCCTTTGGTATCCACTTTTAGCAAGAATCCTGCTAACTCTTCCTCCCACTCTTGATATACGATCAAGTTCCTCATCTTCCACTCTCGATGTCTAAGTCCTTGACCTGTCTTTAGCAAGAATCCTCCTCCCCTTGATGCTTCCTCTTAGTAATTTTCCATCCACTGACCCTCTCAATCTGCTTATTGGCTATAAATCCCTACTCGTCTTTGTTAGATTCAGAATTGAGCTTGGCTCCTTCCCTTAATGCAACAGTACTGAATAAAATGTCTTCATTGCCTTTAACTAATGTTTGGCCCTATCTCTCTTAATAATCTCCAGCACGTATTCCTTCTATCTTCTAAAATTCTAGTTTATAGTACAATTGCAATACTACTCAAAGCTTATATGGAAATATATGCACACATATGTCAAGAACCAAGTTCCTTTCTCTTCCCAGAGAATTTGGCTGTTTCAGCAAAAGGAAAACTTACCCAAGATGGGCCTCAAGAGCTATTGCAAAACATTTGTCTGCTGATGGGATGAAAAGTCCACGTGATAAGCCTTACAATTCAATGTTCAGATAATGGCAGCTATTTTAAGTGTTTTTTAATAAGCTTCCATACAGAAGTGTTTAGTCTCCTGAGTGAAAAAGAAAATTATCTATAAACTCACATAATTAGCTAGGTGGCGGATCCCACTAGGAAAGCGTATAGGGTCTGCCTGAAGTCTGCCTTTTGAGTCTCTTTCGGGTGCCATCCAACAGTCATCAATGCAGAGGTACTCATACCCTACTTCCTTCCAGCCATCTGAGTCCATGAGATCTGCCATTTGCATGAAGAGCTTCTCACTGAAAGAGAAATTCCAAGAATCATTAAAAGTCATTAAACAAATGCTTGGGTACTTCCTATTTGTTAGGCATCTTGGGGCTTCCAATTTTTTTCAACGCAAGAATAGTTGGGTAGTAATCACAACCAATGTAAGTTAAAATGGACTGGGCCTCTTTTCTTCTCCTTCCCCTCCACTCTTACTACTTCTACTCTAAGAACCCTGAACAATTAAAACAGGAATGAGAAATGTGTGAAACTGAAAAGGCTATTAGAACTAAGAAGAAAGTTCAGTCAAGTTATAAACTACAAAGTTAACATAATCAACAGCTTCCTTAGATATCAACAATAACCTAGTTGGAGAAAAAGATACCATCGCCAAGAGCAACCAAAAAAGCAACAGGAAAACCTAAAATACCTAGAGATAAAGTTAAGATATTATTTTGCTCTTGGATAAGAAAATTCAATATTAAAAAGAAGCTAATACTCCCTATACAATTTTATGCATTTAATAAAACCCTTCACAAATCCCAAAAGGACTTTTTAAGGAACTTGGCAACATGCTTTGAAAGGTTCACCTAAAAGATTAAACATGTGATCATTCTGCAAATGATAAATGAAGCTGGTATAGTACCAGTAACATTAGAATACACTCATCAGTGGAATTAAAGAGAAAGTTTAGAAAGAGATCCTTCCAGCTATTTGGTACCATGGAGTTTAGTTAATATTAAATGTGGCATTCTTTATAGGAGAATAAAGGCCAGATGCATTAAATATTTTAAAAATCCATAAACACACTAGTAGAAAATATAGGTGACTATTATCTTCAGGTAGGAAAGGACTTTCTCAGCATGATGCCAGAGTCAGAAATAATAAAGGGAAAATTGATACTTGATATATGACTATCAAAACCAACATATAACAAGAACCACCATATTTACAACATATGATAGGCAAAACTAAAACTAAAACCATCCTAAAAGCAAACAACCCTCCCCCCCCAAAATAAAAGCATTGCAATAGAAAAATAGGGAACTAACACAAACAGGCAATCCATAAAAGAAACCAAGCAAAGAGCCAATTTAACAAATGAAAAAGTGTCTAACCTTATTAGGAATCAAATAAATGAAAATAAAAACACCTACTGGATTGGCAAAGTTTTAAAAGAATAACAAAAATGCAGTGTAGGGTGTGGGGAAACAGGCATTCTCATACACTGTTGTTGGGAATGTGCATTTGTAAAACTTTTGGGGAGGATAGTTTGATATGTTACAAAACGAACATATGCTTGGACCTAGTAATTAGACTTCTAAGGAAAGAATCAGATGATGTACAATGACGTATAGTTTTGTTCACAATAATGAAAAACTGAAGAGCCTGAATAGCTATCCACAGGATTTTGCTTAAATGAATTATGGTATATACATACGACTTGCATTTATGAAGCTCTTATTCTATGCCTGGCATTCTGCTTCCGTTTAGGAAGGGTAATTAATTTGCCCAAGGTCACACGGCCAAGTAACAATGAGCTAGAATTTGAATGCAGGCAGGCAAAGTTGAGAGTCTTGTTAACTCACAACACAAACATGAGCTCATTTTTATTGGAAATAATGAGAAAAAGAAATCTGTGTGATTTACTAAAAATCTATTCCAAGGCCTTATATTAACATTTTAACCATGATTATTTCTGGGTGGTAGAATGAGGGGAATCTTTATTTTCATTATACTCTTCTTTACTGTCTAAAATTTTTTTTGCACTGATCATGCATTAGTTTTATAATCAGATACAAAAATAAGACAACCACCACTTAGAAAAAAATTAAAAGACAAAAAAAGAAATATGTGATGGGCACAACTGCTACACACTTCACCCCTGAGTCACAATAGGCTTAATCTGAAACTTAGAAGGTCAATTAATTCTGTGATGTAAGACCAACATCCTGACTTTATCTATTAAACTGTAAAGTCATTCATAGGAATAACTTCCGTGCACTGGGAGGTACCATAACAGCTGCCTCTGCACCACAGGTGTCTTTATTATGCTTAAGGGCTACTCTGTTATTAACCCATTGTCACCCCAACAAACATTAAAAAAAAGAAACTGATATGATAGATGGGTACTAGTTTATCAGGGTGATTACTTCCTAAGTTATATAAATGTCTAATCACTGTGTTGTAATCTGAAGCTAATATAATATTGTGTGTTAGCTGTAATTGAAAATTTAAATATAAAAAAAGCTCCTATTTTACAGATCCTTCTGAGCCAACTCCCTGAGGTAAGGGTTGTTATTCCCAATTTACAGACACGGAAAGTGTGGATCAGGTAGTTCACTATCTGTCTTATCCAGCCAGCCTTGTTGGGGAAGATGAGTGAGAAGACGTTGACCCTCCCAGTGGGACCTGACAACTGGAGGCTCCTCACCCTCTCCCCTGTCCTTGGAATGTGCATTCTGCTTGCCTTCCCGGCTTCCAGACGCTGCCCCAAGGATGCAGCCTTGAGACAGAAATGTGTTCATACTATCAGGACAGTATACAGGCGTACCTCGCTTTGTTGTGTTTCGCTTCATTGCACCTCACATGTTGCGTTTTTAAACAAATTAAAGGCAAAGGCCCTCTATTAGCAAAAACAACGACCCGCTTTATTGCGATATCTGAACCAAACCTGCAATATCTCTGAGGTACGCCTGTACGTGACTAAACCCAGCTAAGGCTTCTGTACAAACTTTTATTTCGCTGGCGGGTGTGGAAAACTATTCATTCCTCTTGTAGCCTCCCAAGAAAAGCTGCATAGGTAAGTTCCCCGGCTCATTAAAACTGCCACCTACCAATCTGGAGTGATCTACCACTGTCTTGGGTTTCTCCCAGGCCTCCTCTACTGGGGTGGTTTCAGATTACACCCAGGTTGGTCCTGGCCAGTTTGTGAACCAACAAAACAACCCTCAACCCTTGGCTTCCATATACAGGCATACCTCAGAGATATTGCGAGCTTGGTTCCAGACCACCGCAATAAAGCGAGTCTCTCTCCCCCACTGCAATAGAGCGAGTCTCTCTCTCTCTCTCTCTCTCCCCCACCGCAATAAAGCGAGTCTCTCTCTCTCTCTCTCTCTCTCTCGTTGCTGGTGGAAGATAGGGCTTTAAATTTGTTTAAGAAAACAAAATTACATCTGCGAAGCGCAATCAAGCGAAGTACAACAAAGCCAGGTATGCCTGTACAAAGTTCCTTCATGTCAACCTTTCAGCCAGACGCCACCCGCAAGGCTGAGAGGGTGGGGACACTGCAGCCTCCATGGTCCCTCTAAACTCCCTCAAGTTACAGTCAAGGACCCCTGTGACCCAAAAAGAAGAAAAGTACTCTGTCTCTCTCACTCACCGCAGCTGTGCTCGCTGCTAGTACCAGCAGAGGCAGAGCAGCAGCTCACAAGAAGGGTCTGAATGGAACTGGATGGTAAATGGACAAAGTCCCTAGCTGGGGAATCCCGCAGTGACAGAGAAGCTGGAGAAGCCCGGGCCGCTGGCAGGTGTCCCACCCCAGGAGAGGTCATACAGAGAAAATTTAGGGCTAGTCCCCATCCAGGGCAACTCGCTAGGAATAGAAAAGCAGCAGCAGTAGGGAGGCTCTCGGGCTCAAAGGTTCCCTCTGAGACCCCCGCCCCTCAAACACACGGAAAGGCGAAGGAAAGGGCGTACCCAATATCTCCGATACCTGATACAGGAATCCGGATCTTCGTTGCAGTCAGTGTTGCACATGAAGCGCTCCCAGTGCAGCCAGCCCATGGTAGGGGTCATGGCCAAGCCATTGTCCAGGGCCCAGGCCCCGGGAACGTTCCAGAGAACCAGGGTCAGGAAGCGAAGCGCCAGCAAGCAGCCCAGCGGCGGACCTCCGCTAGCCGGCCTCATCGTCACTGCAACCATACATAATAGATTTCCGCTGTAAAATGGACTTTTAAGTTTAACCTCAGGGGCGGGCCAATCACTGGAAAGTTACGTAATGACGTCATTGTTTCTTAGGCAACTGGGACGGTTTATCCCCAGAGGCGGACCAATGATCAGTTCACGTAAGACGCACCGCAACCAATCATGCCCTTTCTTCCTTAACGCTGACCCGCCCTATTTCCATACCAGAAGGAAGTGTGCACCTCAGTGATCAGAGTTTAAGCGGAGAGGTGCTCACGTGACCGAGATCTCACATGACGTAGGCGGTCACGTGATCATTCGCTTACGTGAGCAGAAGTAGTTCTGGCCGTCGTCTACCGTCTCGCTATAGCCTTTGGAGGGAAGGAGGTACATCGTCCGGCATCGTTAGAGGTTGGTGTGTGGGTGGGAACTGGGGACCCAGGGGTGGCGATGATGAAGGCCAAAGCGGGGTCCGCGGGCCCCCTTCTCCTTTTTCGCTCCTCGCTTTCTCCTCCCCCGCCCCCCACTCCCCCATCTCAGTGCCGGGAAGCCGCCTTCGCCGCGCCTGGTGGGGAAATGGTGGACGTTCGTGACTGTGTATGGGTTTTGTATATCTTGCTGTGTGAGTGGGTCTCAGGGGACCCTTAAGAGAAACCTTTCGGTTAAAAACGTTTGAAAACCACGTCCGTGGATTAAGAAAAAAAAAAAACATTGAGACTAGTGGTCTGAGCGCTCGTCCATCCTTTCGGGGACTCAGCCTCCACTGCCTGATTGTCTGTAGGGAGAGGCACCAAGTCAGTGTTATATGTAAAATCACATCTAGGCAAATGTTACGTGCTTAACAGAGGCGCCCAATAAATGTTTTTACTGACTTGAGTATTTAAATAACGTTTATTTATTTATTTATTTATTTAGCTTATAACAAGTTATTCAATTTTGAACATTCGAAAAATAACAAGTTTTTAAAAAACTCGCAATTCATCACCCAGAGATAACTATTCAGCATTATGGTGTATAAAAAGTATGTGTATAAACACACATATAAATACACAAATTCTTAACTCACGAGTGGAATCCTGATTCTTACTTCAGGCAACGGAGTCTTAGTGGCCTTCCCGGGAGATACAGTAATGAAGCAGAACTTTCCTGCCCCTACAGAGAGGTGTTAAGGCCTAGAGTGCTGCGGGGATATTAAATGGGGTGGGTCATCCAAGAGCTAAGACAGGCAAAAAACTAGTCCGAAATCTATCGCTCAGATCTAAAGATGGTTTATAGGAGGACTGTTAATCACTGCAGATGCCGTGTGCAAGGCACATAATGGGCAGTTAGTGTTTGTTTAATTGAATCCTCTAGTTTTATGGCAGTTAGTACACTTTGTACTTTCCAAGAGGCCCAGCGTTCCCAGACCATGTCAGATAAGCCACCCACATACCAAATTAGAAGCTTTTATAAAATTTACTATACCAAACCCCAGAAAAGCAAACATTTTTTTATTTTTGCTGAATTAAAGTAATTACTCTAGGAAATTAAGAATGCACCAAAATTTTAAAAAATTAAATTTAAAAAGCCATAAACCTGCCACTCAGAAACCACCGTTAACATTTGACACGTTTCCCATGCATATACTTTTGCTAACATTGTTTTTTAATTCCAGTTACAGTGATTTAAAAAAATTAAACCTGTGTAGTAGTATATAGGATAAGAAGTGAAAATCCACTCCACTTTTCCTACCCTCTAGTTCTTTTCTCCAAAAAAAAGTTTGTATTATATGCTTCCAGATCTTCCTCTATGCATGTACAAACATATATACATGCATGCTTATGTTTTAAAATAAGTAGTGTCATACAATGTATGTTCTTTCATTTAATATATTTTGGAAATCCTAGGTCAGGGCAGGTCTTTTTTTAACAGCTTCATACCATTCCACTTTAAGGATAAAGTATAATTCATTCAACTATCCCCCTATTGAGGGATAGTTAGGTTTCTAATTTTCTGCAATTACTAACAGTGCTACAGTGAACATTTGTGAGTATTTCAGTTGACCAGCCTCTGGAAGGAGTTCTAGCAGGGTTGAAGAATATGTTTTTTATGTAGTTGAGATTATAAAGTAGCTGTGATCTTGGGTTACTTAAGATTATAGCATAAGTAATTTCTCATGTAATTAAATATTTTTATAATTTTTTAAATTAAGTGTAATATTCTTTCTTAATAAAATACCTTTCAATGAGTATATAGCTCCATAAATCTTTGTCTGAATTTCAGATCACCTCCTCATGGCACATAACCTAGAGTGGATTTATTGTACCAAAAGACATGATACCTATTTCCAAAATGCTTTCCAGAAATACTGTACCAACTTTCACTCTTCTGGGTGTGTTTGTGAACCCTGAATATCAGCATTGATTTATCCTCACTTTAGTTTTCACTGTCTTGATGGGTGAAAAGTGGCAGTTAATTCTGGTTTTAATGTGCATTTCTGGCGATTGATGAGGTTTGGGCATTTCCCAGACTCCTCTCCTGTATCCTCAGATCTCTATTCTGCTATATTTAATCTGTTAATTAAGTTCCACAGAGTCCACTGCTTTGAATACATAGATCACATCTTTCCTCCCTTTTTTAAACTGCTGTTGCCTTAGGTGAATCCTTAACATATCTCTAGGAGATCAGGGTTCTAACTGATCTTGCTAGTGTCACCTCAACCCCCTCTGTTTGAGTGCTATACTGTTTTCAGGGCAGTCTATCTCAAAGGGTTCTGAAGATGTAACTTCCCTCCCCTCACTCCTCTCCCCTCAATCCCCTTCTCCTAACTCCTCCTATCCCCTCAGTCCCTTCCCTTCACTCCCTTCTCCCCTCACTCTTCTCCCTTCACTCCCCTGTTAAAAGCCCTTAGTGTTTGTCTGTCAAATAAGACCTTTGGGATCTGATCTCTACCTTGTCAGCCTTATCTCTTGACTTGCCTTTTCCTATTTTATGCTCTATCATAATTTTTAAAATTTGTGTATGGATCCCTGAATCAGTTAGTCTGTTTTCATTTAACTATTCTGTGCCAATTGATAGAATTGACCAACCATGCCCTGCTTTAATACCACCCTTTCACCCTGCACAGAATTCTGTCATAGCAGAGATAATGTGTTTATTTGCCCTTTTGTTTTTAGTAAAGACAGAGTGCCCCTGTAGGACCATAAGTCCTTTTTGGGCTTATTGGTCTTTGTATGCCAGAGCCAAGTACTGAACCTGGCACCTGAAAACTGTAAAATGAATATGTGAATTCCCCATAATGTCTTTTTTCCATTTATCTCTTAGGCCTTAATATTCCCCTGATTTTATTAATTTGTGTGAGTTCTTTATAAAAGGGTATTAATGCATTTGTTGCAGGTATCTTCTCAGTTGTATTGTTTGTCTTTTAATTCTGTTAAATCTTTTGATGTAATGAAGTTTTCATTTTTATATACTCATATAGCCATTTTTTAATTTGTTGAAATCTTCCACTGATTTTGTTGTTAGTAATTTTACTCCTTTTTCTTTTGACTATGATGTTTATATATGATCAATGTAGAAATCTTAGAACATACAGAAATTTCCAAAGGAAACATTTCCTGAAACAAAAAGCTCCCATAATTCTACTACCCAGAAATAACCACCATTAATTATATCCAACACATAATAGGTATCAAATATATAATTGTTGACTGAATTAGAAATTTGGTACAGTCATTTTGTTTATGTGAAAGTCTTACAAAGAAGCTGTCAGTGTATTTGAATTTTGTATTAATAGTTTGCTTTTTTTTCGTACTGTATTGTGAACATTTTTCCATGATAATAGTGTTCCAATTTTTTTCAGCTACACTGAAATTGCATTGAGCCGAACTTGCCACCAAGAGCCTAACAGTCACCATGATGCTGAGCACGGAAGGCAGGGAGGGTTTCGTGGTGAAGGTCAGGGGCCTGCCCTGGTCCTGCTCTGCTGATGAAGTGATGCGCTTCTTCTCCGATTGCAAAATCCAAAATGGCACGTCAGGTATTCGTTTCATCTACACCAGAGAAGGCAGACCAAGTGGTGAAGCATTTGTCGAACTTGAATCGGAAGATGAAGTGAAATTGGCTTTGAAGAAAGACAGAGAAACCATGGGACACAGATACGTTGAAGTATTCAAGTCCAACAGTGTTGAAATGGATTGGGTGTTGAAGCATACAGGTCCGAATAGTCCTGATACTGCCAATGATGGCTTCGTCCGCCTTAGAGGACTCCCATTTGGCTGTAGCAAGGAGGAGATTGTTCAGTTTTTTTCAGGGTTGGAAATTGTGCCAAATGGGATGACACTGCCTGTGGACTTTCAGGGGCGGAGCACAGGGGAGGCCTTTGTGCAGTTTGCTTCACAGGAGATAGCTGAAAAGGCCTTAAAGAAACACAAGGAAAGAATAGGGCACAGGTACATTGAAATCTTTAAGAGTAGCCGAGCTGAAGTCCGAACCCACTACGATCCCCCTCGAAAGCTCATGGCTATGCAGCGACCAGGTCCCTATGATAGGCCAGGGACTGGCAGAGGGTACAATAGCATTGGCAGAGGGGCTGGGTTTGAAAGGATGAGGCGGGGTGCCTATGGTGGAGGGTATGGAGGCTATGATGATTATGGTGGTTATAACGATGGGTATGGCTTTGGGTCTGATAGATTTGGAAGAGACCTGAATTACTGTTTTTCAGGAATGTCTGATCATAGATATGGAGATGGTGGGTCCAGTTTCCAGAGCACCACCGGGCACTGTGTACACATGAGGGGATTACCTTACAGAGCCACTGAGAATGATATTTACAACTTTTTCTCACCCCTTAACCCCATGAGAGTACACATTGAAATTGGACCCGATGGCAGAGTAACTGGTGAGGCAGATGTTGAATTTGCTACCCATGAAGATGCTGTGGCAGCTATGGCAAAAGACAAGGCTAATATGCAACACAGATATGTGGAGCTCTTTTTGAATTCTACTGCAGGAACAAGTGGTGGGGCTTATGATCACAGCTATGTAGAACTCTTTTTGAATTCTACAGCAGGGGC